GGGTTTTGTCGACGCGGCCAAATACGGTATGCGGTTTAGGGCTTGACTTACTTGTGTAGCGCGCTAGGCGGAAGCTTGCTGGTCTTTTCCATCGGGCCGTAGCAAGACGTCCGAGCTTCGGGGATGTCGCCGTACTCATCCAACATGGCCGCCGCCGCCGACGTGATGATCCCCAAACCATCGCGCACGCGCGCCTCCAACGGATAATCCCAGTCATCGTAGGAGACCGAAATCATTCCCGATGGGAACTCCTCAGGCGTTATTTCCGGGTTGCCGGTGGTCAGAGACGGTACGATCCAGATGTAGCCGAATCCCGTCAGGCCCAGCGAGCGAGCCTCCTCCAGGATGTAGACGGCCTCGTCCTTGGAGCAGTAGAGCACGACTACCGGCGACTGAACCTTCTTCAGCATGATCTGAGAGCGGCTATCTTCCTCCACTGCATCCAGAGTGATGATATTTTGCAGGTCCCAGCCAACAAAACTGCACAGGATGGAAGCGTTGAGAGATTAGTTCTGTCAAATGGTTTCATGATTTTCTTTTTAAACTGGCAAGTTAGTTACCGTCATTATATTCATCACCGCACATAGAACGCAAATAATAAAAAGTTTTCCTGGAAGAACAAAGGTCAGTCTGCGTAAGTATCTTTACCGCCGTTTCCGGGACAGCGTTTGGATTAAACGGATTCGGTTGAGATTACTTTTGGCTTCCAACCCATCTTGCTCAAAAGAGGGAACATAGATCAGATAACATCCCTTTTATAATCCATCTCTCTAGAAAGTTATCTGAAGTGAGAGGTAACAAGTGCGCAATAAAAAGCCCCACGAGATAAGCGCGATAAGATCATTTATCTTTCTTATCTAATGACTGATCTTTTTTTTTTTTCCCCCCCAAAAAATGTCCAAAGTGATAATATTCAGCAGATTCCCTTACCACAAAGGGGAATTGCGTCAGCGTTGGACGGGAAAAGGGCGCTATTGCTGTAATTAAAGATACAATGTGGAACAAATTGGGCGAAAGCTGTGGAATGAGATGAGTTTTACCCTGCGGCAGTGAAATAGCAGTCAAAGAGAGCACAGCTGCGCACGTCCGTACAGGCTGTGAACTGGGTTAAGTTTTTGCATCTTCTGCATTCACGGTCAAGTTATTGGGTCAATATGTTGAGTGTTATTTTCAAATCAAACCGGACCATTTTTCACAAACATCCAAATGCATGCCACTATCCCGATGTATGCCCAAGCCCCTGCAGTGACAAAAACAAAACAAAACACAAGAACAAAACTTTCACTTCAAAACTCTGCAGAAACGTAAATACAGTGAACACCAATAACACCAAAATATACTGTATTGACATTCATCATTTCAGTCAACTCATGCGTCGCGTATATTTAGCGATAGCATCCCGCTCGACGGCATCTCGGCTGCATTTCATGTCGGCTCCTGAGAGCACCGCAACATCTGCCAGCTCAGCCTTGACTCACTGAGCTGACCGTCCCCATTTTATTTTCAATTGAGATGATCGAGGTCCTTTGCTATTCAAGCTGTCTGCCCATGACCAAGCCTCCAGCGAGCGGGTCGTACAGCGACGCGGGAAATGGACGGTTAACTACGGCGACTGCCGCAAATGATTTCATCTTTCATGAATGATGTTTTTTTATTATTCCATGAAGGTCAATAATCGGAGGGAATAAATATTTCCATTTCCCCGCTCAATTACATTGCATGTGTACTCCCAGCACACAATAGTTGAACTTTTGAGCGCATAATTGTTCCTTCCCTCAGACCGACCGATCGTCGTCACGAAAGGGCACAAGCGATACAAGTCGAGATTTCAGTCCCGTAATTCACAGAATCCGAACTATCGCCGTCATCTCAGAATTACCGAACCCTTTATTTGGCTCGCGGCTCAATATTATGGGCCGCCGCGCTGTTAAGCGTTTGACGACGGCATCAGTCAAAATGACCCAGAGGTGTGGGAGACGGCAACGCTGCAGGACTACTCAACCGAACTGTCATCCACATTAATTTCAAGAGTGCCACTTGAATCCTCGTGGGCTGCTGTCTTTGAAACCAATATGAGAAGCGCGGATGAAACATCCAAGGCCAAACACTGAGCGCAGTAAGTTGCCAAGACGGTAAACAACCTCGTTCACCGCAGGGGCATCTGCTGTGCTGATGGATGAGATTACAGCACAAAAAAGAAAATGGAAAAATTATTCCAGAAATAAGATGCTCGGAACCCACTTGACTTAACTTTCTGGAAGAGGTCATTAGAAAATATTTATTTGTGTGTATATATATATATATATATATATATA